TCAATATAATATTCACTCTCCGTTTTGATGAAAAGTTACTTTGATACGTTTTAATTATATGATCGTGATTGTATTAGGAATCAGGTGAAGTAGAAAGGAAGTTTTGCTTGTTTGAAAGGAAATAAATGATCCGTTTAAATGCAGGCTCTGGAATTCTTGTTTAATTGCAATTTCTACTTGTCATGGGCGGATGACATTTAGTCGCACACAAAGGAGCTGATTATGACAGCAGGTGAATTTGTTAAGGAAGCAGTGCGTAAAGAGGCCCTCTAGCGAAGTCTCCCCTCGCCAATTCTAACCCTTTCCCCTCCGCCCGACTTCGCTCCTTTCATGTTTCTTCATCAGACACCAACACAGAGACAGATGAAACACAGGACGCACACGTGCCAAGTCTATTTCCTCTACTCCCAGCCTCAGAAGAGTCTCTTTTGCCACCTAGTGCCCGGCCACCGCCTGTGTCAACAGCAAGACTCCTTTGCAATCACCAGACCGGAACACCACCCGTTCACACCGACAAGAACAGCAAAACTCTTCTCTAATGGGAAACATAATTTATATGCGTGAAAGAAGAAGTAAATTACATAATTCTCATAGTCAATCCCTTGGGTATTTTATGATATATAATGATTAAAAAATCAACCCTTTACAAAAACAAATAAAATCCCCTCACTGCTGTATTGATTTAACTCAAAATAATGTATTATTACCCACATAAATAAGAGCATAACCTTTGAACACTAAAAAAACCTAATAACTCTTCTTTAAAAAAATATTTTGAAAATTAAATTATTCAACGTCATCCTCAAACATTTAAAAAAACTCGCAACAGGAATACTAGATCTAGCCCAAATCTGATTTGTACATAATACATATGAGTGTGGATTCCAAGAACAACTTTTAATAGGTAATATAAGAATTTGGATTGTGTTCTATTTTACAGTTAATTACTGTTGTAAAATTGACCGCAGCACTTCTTAGAATAGAATTTCGTTCTTACCTTTATTTTTGATGCTTCAACACCCACGTCTAATATGAGAAAATACAATGTATAATATTATATATATTTGAAATTTATGGTGAGTGTGAGTGTGCTAGTGTAAATAACACACTCTCAGTTATAAATATATTTACTTATATTTTCTAATGCACAATTAACAATATAACTATTAATCAACGATTAGTTACACGTTTATTATTACATTTTACGTATTTAATTATACGTATTACGTGTACGTTACGTATTACACATTTTCAGGGCTCGGTTCCTTTTTTTGGTATTATTTTTGTGTGTGCCTTTGGTGGATTAAGTCTGTTTTTTTAATTGCCCCATTCAGTTTTTATGATGGTCGGATTTTTTGTCTGGTTAGTTTTTATATTGTTTAGAATGGTGTAAATGGTATATGTGAATAGTTAATTTTATTTTTTTTATTTTTAAACGTGTTGTTTTTAAACTTTTTTCAAATAGGATATTTTTATGTCCTTCCTGAACGTCGTATTTCTGAATAGAATTTTGTTCTTAACTTTATTTTTGATGCTTCCCCACCCATGTCTAATATGGGAAAATACAATGTATAATATAACATGTATTTAAAATTTATGGTGAGTGTTAGTGTGCTAGTCTAAATAACACAGTCTCGGTTATAAATATATTTACTTATATTTTCTAATACACAATTGTCAATATAATTATGAATCAACGATTAGTTAATTGTTAGTTTTACTAAATACGTATTACACATTTTCAGGGATCGAGTCCTTTTTTTTGTATTATCTTTGTGGGTGACTTTGGTGGATTAAGTCTGTTTTTTAATTGCTCCGGTAAGTTTTTCTGATGGTCTCCTTTTTTTTTGTTAACTTTTATACTGTCTAGAACGGTGTAAATGATATATGTTAATAGTTAGTTTTCGTTTTTCTGATTTTATAGTCTTAAACGTGTTGTTTTTATTCTTTTTTCAAATACGCTATTTTTCTCTCCTTCCTGAACGTCGTGTTTCTGAATATAATTTCGTTCTTACTTTTATTTTAGATGCTTCAACACTCACGTCTAATATGTGAAAATACAATGTATAATATTATATATATTTGAAATTTATGGTGAGTGTTAGTGTGCTAGTGTAAATAACACAGTCTCGGCTATAAATATATTTACTTATATTTTCTAATGCACAATTAACAACATAATTATTAATCAACGATTAGTTTTATTAAATACGTATTACACATTTTCAGGGATTGAGTCCTTTTTTTGGTATTATCTTTGTGGGTGCCTTTGGTTGATTAAGTCTGTTTTTTAATTGTTCCGGTCAGTTTTTGTGATGGTCGGCTTTTTTGTCCTGTTAACTTTTATACTGTCTAGAATGGTGTAAAGGAATAGGTAATTTTCATTTTTATTATTTTTTAGTGTTAAACATGTGGTTTTTATACTTTTTCAAATACGCTATTTTTCTCTCCTTCCTGAACGTCGTGTTTCTGAATAGAATTTCGTTCTTACCTTTATTTTTGATGCTTCATCACCCATGTCTAATATGTCAAAATACAATTTCTAACATTATACATATTTGAAATTCATCGTGAGTATTAGGCTGCTAGTGTAAATAACACAGTTTTGGTTTTAAATATATTTACTTATATATATATTTTTAATGGACAATTACCAATAGAAATTAGTTATCGACGAGTTGTATTAAATATGTATTACACATTTTCAGGGATCGGTGTCTTCATAAAATCTTAGTTCCTTTACTACGACATTCATTTTTAACTTTTTTCTAACGCTTAACTAACAAATAAAACAACAGGCTATCTGAAATCACACGTAACAAACAAAATTTCAAGAGATGACACGATGCACATAACACCTTCATGACTTATTCGCAAACGCTCTAACTTACAAACAAAAAACTGTTTTACAATTCCATAGTGAAGCCTATATGTTACTTAGGGATAGAAAGAGTGGGTTAAGCCAAACACTCCAACTTCCTCCATAATCCTCAGAAAAATTCTTTATGCTCCATTTTAATTAAAGAAAGAATCCACACAGTTCTACACATTCCTTTTAACAGGCCCTTATTCCAGTATTCCGTCAACTTCAGTGTGACTGGGTTATGTATGTGAAGTAAATTCTCTTTTATAAGGCCTTGAAGGGTGAAGTGCTTTTTTCGTTATTATCTTTGTGGGTGACTTTGGTGGAATACTCGGTGTTTTTTTTTTATTGCTTCGGGCAGTTTTTTTTCAACCGTCGGCTTTTTTTTCTTGTTAACTTGTATAGTGTCTAGAATGGTGTCAGGTTTCTGAACAGAATTTCGTTCTTATCTTTATTTTTGGTGCTTCATGCAATGAGAGAGAATTGACTTCAAGAGACACACTGAAGATGGTAGAACACGTCTGATAGACCAACTCAGCAAAGATATCTCAAGTAACAATAACATCCAAATAACAGAATAGATTTCTGTCAAACTTTTTAGCGGAAACGTTACATTCAACCAATATTGCTGTGATTGCATGTATTTAAATCGAGCATTAATTTTGTTATACTATCAAAAATGTCTCTCTCCGATTTCAGTACATTTGAAATTTTGTAATTCCGTTGTAGAATGTTTTACATACCTTGATATTGACTGGTTGATTAAAAACCATGAATAATTGTTTTACATAGCTACCTTAGCTGCTTATGAAATGGGCTTAAATTAATACAATTCAGGGAGAAGGTTCAAATTCTTGCCATTTGAGGACTGCCGAGACTTGAATTACGAGTACGTAGAGGCAAATCGTTTCGAGAAATTAATTAAATTGAAGTACCGACTCTTTAAGAACTTCACAACTTGACTTTTTTATCCTCTGCATGGGAAACCTTAAAATTAGATTTAATCGCTATGTTAATAGGTAAAAAATATAAATCTGCTATAACGACTAAAACACCGACTGTAGTTTTCTGAAAATCTATTTTTTTGAAATATTACATATCGAGGGTTTGCTAACCTGTTCGTAACAATTCGTCGAAGGTCTTTGAAAAGGGTTGAAATTGGTGAAATATTACAACTATGTGGACGGTGTCAGTCCGCGGAATGTCTGCATCAGCAGCATTCCCTGGAATTTTGAGAATTTATGGTGCCGCGATAAAAGCTTTTTTTCCCCATCCTGACTATTTTCACGGTATGATTTCCAAATCAAACTGTGTAAATTCTGTGATGAAAATTGGCTAATGAGATAGCGGAAAATTAGTGGGCAAACCGAGACGAGCTTAAGAAAGTACTTAACTCACGGAAGTGAGTCAAAGCGTGTACTTTAAAAGAAATCCTTATTAGAACATTGTTTTGGCCAGTGGTGGAGCTTTTTTATAACGAATTCCCGCTGAGAAATTAATTAAGCATTCAGATGTAAATATCATCTTAAAAAAAGGAAATTGCGTGCATGTATCCCAATCGATAAAACATAACAAGCCGAAAGTAAAACGGTAAAGTGAAATAAAATACTCAACTTTTAGTACAGGTAATTATTTTATTTCAATTCCATCAGTAAGCTACCTCACACCAACAATTCAATATATTATAATTAAATCAATAATATCAATCAATCAATTATTCATGATGCTTCGACTTGCGGTAAAGCGTTCGGAAGTCGTTAGATATCAGAGTTTCCTCTCGAATAGAGATGATTCAGACTTCTGTGCACATCAATGGCTTTGATGAATTGGGTTCGTTTATGTTATAATTTGATTAATTTCATTTTATAATTCTGTTTCTATTATGCGCTGCTACGTTTTCTCTCGTCTTGTTTTGTAAATTTGAACATCTCAATCAATTAAACGACTTTTTCACGAATGATTTTTACATAATTTATGTGGTTTCGGCTAAACATAACGCTTATCAGTCATGTAACCTAATGATCATTTTAAATTCAATACATCAAGCGATATGGTTAATCATTCTTTCATGGAATCGAAAATTATTAAATTATTAAAATACAAATAATCTTTTTCTTTTCTATAATTCTTGTTGCAGTTCGTGAAGATGAAGGGTTAAGATTCTGTGACATGCTCTTTGTCAGCTTGGGGGATGCAAGAGGTAAGTCATGCACTATCTTTATGTAACTAATCAGTAAATTTAGGTGTAAGCGTGTCTCTTCTGTTTTGGGCCCAACCCTGAATTCGGAAAACCGAAACCAGAGGTTTTTTTATGATCGGACCTGACTAAAATTATTTAATTTAATGATCAGGCACCTTTTTTTGATATACAAAATGCCAATATTCAATTCAAACCAAAAAAAATACGAGACCAAAATATTAATTAAATTTAAATCTTTTATTACAATTTATTTTATTAATTATTATTTTTAATTTAAAGAATCTTTTATTCTATAATAAAACCTACTTCAGAATCTACAAATATTAATTTTAAAATCGAATTTAATTCTCGTTTTATAAAGAAAAGTAAAAGTAAAGGAAATTATTATTATTGTTATTATTATTAATTTTTGACCACCAATTAGAAAATACAATTAATATTTTAACATAACTTTTAAAATCAAATGCCATCTCTTTTAGTTTTCTTGATAAAAATATATTTTTTGTGACAACCCTTTTTTTAAATTAAAATACAATTATTATTTTTAGTTTTTTGATGTCAAAATATAAAATTTACTCACTTGAATCGTGTGCACACCTAATTTTTCTTTATTATAAATAAACAGCTACCCACAGAGGACAGAAAGGGAATTGTTTTTTTGACTGAAAAAAATAGCCCTTTCCTAGCCCCTACTCCTTTCACTGTCAGATGTGTGTGGAGGGGCATGGCGGTACATTCAAATCGAAACGTGATATATATACAACAAGTTGAAACGTCATCGCTTTTTAAGTGGCATGGTTTTCCTGAGATTTTGAATGTAGTACTGTGGAATATACTCGTACTCCTCCAACAGAACCATTTTTAATCTCTCGTACCGCTGGGAAACTTTTAACTTTCCTGACAACTCTTTTTTTTTGACTGGGGCTTCCGACATCTAGGTCACTTCAGCCCCCAACTAAATATATATTCTATTTACCCTTTCAAACACTACATCCATACAAATAAATACATTCATACACATAAATACATCCATACAGTACACTCATTCCGTTTGGTCGGTGGAGTACCTGATATTCCACCACCTATACTTAAACTAATCTAGATTAGGGTCGATGGAGTACTTTTATAAATATTCCTCCACCGACCCCGAACACACACTCTTACGCTCTCTACGTTCGAAGGGCGATGATGACGTTATATTTCACCCTCATCCCTCGCCATTCACGCTAATAAATACAACAACTCAAACAAAACATATAGACACTACACATAAGACATATTATTCAATAAAAAAAAAATTTCCCTAAAAAGCGGAACAGGGGACTCTGAAACTCCCTACCGTGTTCGAAAACTCTTCTTAAGTCCGGCGGCATGCCGACTCGCTCTCTGTATGGAGCCAAGGCATGGCACTCCTCTATTATGTGGGACACATCGAGCAACCTTTCTCTGCATAAGGGGCACCTACTCGGGCTTTGGCCGAAAGGACAAATCGTTTCAAATCTCCAACCATCCCTAACCATCTTTTTATATCCAATTTATATGATTTTTCTACGAGCTAATCTGTTGCACGTATAAAGGTTTGGACTAAAGGCGACTGGAGGCCGTCTCCAGATTCCAAAAAATTTTCATCTTGCTGACATAGGCCATGAGTGATTGGCACGCTGATACTTGCTTTTGACTTTTGGCTACCACCCGCGTATATGTCTGGCATGTGGAGAAAGAGAGCGCGATGTGTTCGACATATTTGAAGGATCTCATTCCTATCTGTAAAGAACGAGTAGCAATGCCACCTCGATACGATAATAATTGCGCTTCTGAATGAGTGAGAGTGTTTGCATGCTTTGAGAGCACATGCAAACATCGTTGGCAGAACGGATAAGACATAGGTCTGCATCCGTACTGCCAAAGCTCGAATTCGCTGGTTCTGAAGGCATGCTCAGAGGAGTCGTAAGTTTGTTTGTAGATCTACGTAGTGCAGAGTTGAGCTTATAAAAGGCAGTAAATCTGTAAAATATTTCATTATTTTGGATTTGCAACCGTATTTTTTTAACCATATTCATTATCACTCTGAACCGCACAAGAGAGAAAAAATACTAATTATATGAGAATTATTGTTATTTTATAAATAATACCTAATATACATTAAGTATTTCGCGTTTTAGTTCATTTAAACGTTTACAGACGTGTAAGAATTAAATTGACCCGTGGGGAGAAAATAAAAACTTATTTCTTAATATTGCATAACAAGGAAATTAATAATTATACCAGGGTTGTCCTAGGAACTCTCGCGTCAAGGGCACGATAGATAGGTGGCCCCCGGAGAATCTAAACCGCGGAAGGATCATCTTAACCCGACTTAGAATTGGCCATACGCGGCTGACATAAGTACACTGTCCTGCGTGCAGAGAAATATTGCGCAATCGAGTACCCCATTCACATAATTGAAAGCTATCATTCTTTTGCTCCATGTAGGGAGCAAGTGGGAAAGCCGCCCAATATAATATTTGTGCTCGAGCACGGTAACAAATCGTTAAGTCCCCCAAAAGTTCCGAGTTTTGGAGGAAACAGGGTTGTTTTATATATAGTAATGATAGTTTTGTGTACTTAATGTATTGAGTGTGAATGTATTTATTTGCGAAAATGTGTAGCGGAAGAGGGCCGATGGCGGAACATCGAGTACCCCACAGACCCTCAAGTAGTTTTATAATAGCTGTAAAGGAATATCCACCACTCTAATCATTTGAAATGAACGTAAAAAGGAAAGAATGTATTTAAGAACGAGTGAGAGTGTGAGTGGGATTGGATCTACGAATTGCATGCGTCAGGTGCTAGATGTTGACAGCATCCGTCTGACTCCGGACTGCCAATACCCTGGGTGGGTAATTCTCGAGGCCTGCTGGTAATTATTGTAAATTACAACTGATAGAATTGCCAATAAACGGGGAGAAGTTACACTCAACTCTGCACATGTGTGTACATACATATGTTTGAGTTTGAGCTGATATAAATCAAAATCCAAAAATAATATTATACAAGCTCGCTTTTTTTCCTTTTTTTAATCATTAAGGCATAGTAAAACTAAAAATATCCGATTAGGTGCATTGAGAATAATTTAATCTGTTATTGAAAGGTTTCAGAATTTTTGTTCCAACTACGTGCGCGGTGATTAGATTAAATTAATAATGTTTTAAATATAAAGTGTAATAAAAAATAATGAGCACTTAACCTTTTACAAAACGGAGAGTGTTAGTAATAAAAAATTAAGCTTACGTTTTTGTTTAAATATAATTTTGATTGGATGCTTAAACTATAATTTAGCTGAATACGAATAAATCAACTTGAAATTGGCAGATATGTATGGAATTTCGTGTTCTCGAGGGGGAGTTGATGAACTGAATCGCTGAAGGTTGGCTTCCAGAGGTAATTGCTGTGGACGAGCGCCAACTTGGCCACAGAACTAAACCTTTCTATAAAAATACGTACGGAATTGAAACGGATTGATGGATTTCCGCAGCGCGCCCTTATCCACCGTCTCCATAACCGTACGGTATTCTGAGCCCATAATTATTGCTGTAAATCGCATTTCGGAAACGGTGGTGAAAATTTGCATCGAGATTAAAAGAATTTGGTTTGATTGCGTTTTATCAAAAGGGTCGATAAATGATTGAACATTATTTTGAAGGATGCGATATCAAATATGCAGGGGAGAGACCAGCTCCCTAACTTGACTGCAAAGGCAAATTTATTTTTTCTGAACCCTCATCTATAAATTTATAAATATAGGATTGAATATTCGATGGATTCCTTTGGGTCAAACAGATCACATCTTAGTAAATACATTCAGTCATTACAATCCATCATGCTCCGAATCGTGTTACATTTCATTATTAATTATCTAAATGGTATCATTCATTTATTTTAAATTAATTTTTTTGTATTTTCCTTTTACTTATTATAAAAAAATAAGTTTGGATCTTTTTCGGTGATATCGTCTGTCTACATTTGCTGCAATATGTTTTACTGTATTCTGTTTTTTAATTCATCCTACAACTCTTCAAAACTTCCCGTTTTACAAATAAAAAAATCAGTTTACAAACAGTCAGACAAACCGGGAGAATAAGATTGAATATTCGATGGATTCCTTTGAGTCAAATATATCAAAACTTTAGTAAATACAATTAATGATTACAATCCATCATGCTCCAAATCTTGTTAGATTTGTTTGTTAATAATCTAATGGTATCATTAATTTATTTTGAATTAAACTTTTTATTATAATTAAAAAAATATGTTCGGATCTTTTTCGATGATATCGTCTGTCTACATTTGCTGCAATATGTTGTACTGTATTCTGTTTTCTAATTCATTCTCTAACTCTTTAAAATTCCTGTTTGCGCAGCGCGCCCTTAGTAAATACATTTAACGATTACAATTCATTATGTTCCGAATCTGTTCGATTTGTTTATTAATAATCTAAATGGTATCATATTTTTATTTTGAATTAAATTTTTTTATTTTCCTTTTACTTATGATAAAAAATATGTTCGGATCTTTTACGGTATCATTCATTTATTTTAATTATTATTTTTTGTATATTCTTTTACTTACGATAAAAAAAATATGTTCGGATCTTTTTCGGTCATTCATTTATTTAAATTTTTTTTTGTATTTTTCTTTTACTTATGATAAAAAAATATATTCGGATCTTTTTCGGTATCATTCATTTATTTTTTTTATTTTTTTTTGTTTGTATTTTCCTTTTACTTATGATAAAAATGTTCGGATCTTTTTCGGTATCATTCAGTTATTTTAATTTTTTTTGTATTTTTATTTTACTTATGATAAAAAAATATGTTCGGATCTTTTTTGGTATCATTCATTTATTTTAATTTTTTTTGTATTTTCCTTTTACTTATGATAACAAAATATGTTCGGATCTTTTTCGGTATCATTCATTTATTTTAATTATTATTTTTTGTATTTTCTTTTACTTATGATAA